GCCTCCGCCTTGCGCTCGGCGCAGCGCGGCGACTCCTCGTGCAGCAGGAAATTCTGCAGCAACATTAACCCTCATTGCCCGGATGACGGACCAGCCACGAGCGCCCTCTCATAGCTTATGGTTCCAATCGCATTTCAACATTCCAGAGGGCCGTGGTAGGATGGGGAGCGAAACGTTGGTCTAAATCTTGCAGCATTGCCACCGCACTGCTTGTTCGCTGAACTGTAAGTTCCAGTGTTCGAGACCCGACAGCAAATTTTCATCTCTAGGTACATAGGTAGATTCAATTTTGACCCCGACTTGATTGGAATTCTAGCGACCGGCCGCCCTAATTTTGTGTAGTTTCTGCGATCAATGACGATGCGACCACACGAATGCCTTGAACATTTGGGCCTTAGACTACGCGCGTTAATTTATTCTCCATTGCATAAGAGGATGAACACCACCACCTCTCGTGAAATAACGTGCACTAGATTTAAGAGACTAGGATAACCAAAACAGTTGACGAATGAACGGCGAACTTTTGGAATATGAACTAATATTTTTAAGCCAGTCTGCAACGGAACAATCATTCACTATATTTAAACGAAGATTAGCTGTGTGTTTGAGGTGACAGTGTCATTGTCATTATTCCAGAAAAAGTACACAATGCACATAGGGAATTGCGATTTCTTACCTCTATGCGCCTGATGGACACAAAGGCTTCTGCAAGTTGGGTGAGCCCTTGAGGGAAGAATACCGTCATTGTTTGTCGTAAGATGTTGTAATAGGCCGTGATCAAAAACACCTGCGAAAGTCAGACACATCAGTCAGAGAAAGACAACTGCAAAAAGGACGTCTCCAATACATTATTAAATAGTTTCAAAGAACGTTCAAAGAAAGAACGACAGTACATTATTCGATTACGTAGTTCTCAACAGTACGATTATATAAGAAAAAATAGTTTTCATTGCGATTTAAACAAATCTGTATCATTTTGTTGAAAAGTTCCAATAGAGTATCAACTTGAACAATGCATAATTAGGATTCTCTGCACTTAATATATGTATATACAATAATAGAAGAAAAATTGGAAATTTCAATAACACACTTGGCAATGCTATCTATACAAAAGTCATATTCATGGTAAAGACCCAACCACACTCGAACTGCTGAGAATATTTTGTTAATTACAATTCGGGTTATCATGAACAAAGTCCCAAGATTTCCTAATTAAATGTGTGGCAATACAATTACATTGTCATTAACATTTTTTCCCTTGTACACGTAGACCTCTGTAAAGTTACCATACCAAAATTCTCGAAACAGCTCGAATATTCTTAAAATTGTCGTTAATTTTACAAGAAGAAAATTCGCCGCACCAAAACTAATACCGGAAATGCGGAATTTCACTGATGTTATAGAGCTGGACCGGCGATTTCAAAAAGAACAGAAATTGGAACGTTAAATGAAAAATACACCCAAAGCTTTCCACAATCCCTTGCCTTGACCGGTAACGGTCTAAGTGCCTTACTGAGAAACTGGTACACATTCAACAATTCGTCAACGGGAGAGGGTTCGAGTCCCGATGGTGGCAGGACTTTCGACACTAGCTACATAGCTTTGTTACATTCAGCCGCTGTCTGGAGGAGAATTCTAGCGGTCGGTTGCTCGCATTGATAGTTTGTCATGTTTTTTTCCGATCAACACCACGCGAATGCCGGTGTAGTATCCTAACAAACTGGCCACGTGCCACGCGCGATCTTTCTTTCCTCTCCCTTGTCCTATCATCACCCCCTTACTTGCACATAAACACGCACACAGACACTTGTACTACAATGCAACACATGCTTGCCCCGTTGGTGGGAGATAACTGGTTGGGGAAAACCCCGCGAGCTGACGTTTAGGCGCCAGGTCCCAGCAGTTCAAGCATCTAAATGGCCCCAAGGACTGACATGGCCGAGGCGAGTCTAAGGTCTACCCGAGGGGAGCACAAGAAGTATCTTGCTCTCAATTGTCCCCAGGGGGATGGTAATTTTATTTCCTTGGCAAGCCCTGTCAAGAAATTTACGCGCCAATAAATGATGACAGGCGAGAAGCGCGTAAAGCAAGACCAAAACGTAGGCCCTAAAAAAAACTAGTGCGAGAAAGTCGGTGGCTTTTTATGGCTCCACTACTCTGCAGTTCTCAGGGAGTGCTGGTATTACCAATATCTTGATTTATCTTGCTGGTAGATCAGAACTTACCTTTTCAGCGGTGATGGCACCGCCGGTGAATACGTACGAGAGGATGCTGGTAAAGATGGAGATTCGCGTGTTGAACATGATGAAGCTGAGCACCACACCACGGATGTATGACGTCTGCGTCAAGCATTTCAATTCCTGCCTGAAGACCAAAGTACAGCACATTTCCGATAAAAAGAATAAAATACGAAACAATAAAATGACTTTTTAAAAATATTTGTTGGTAAATACTCTCCACATTCGAAAATTTAAATTTCCAAAAAAATGAATACTTAAAATATATGTTAACCGGAGTTATTCCGAGTTAACCGGAAGGAACACTCAAATAATTACTCCCTTTTATGGAAATCCACTGTAAAAAACTCCTTGGCATGTATTTCACAAAGACAATATTTCCCATATTGCAAATTGGTTTTGCAATTGGATGGTGGACAATATTATTGTGTGTCTTGTTGCTGTACTTAGTAAATTACTTCGTCTTAAACGTTGAGTACTTAGAATCCACCTTTTGTGTGCTAATTACTTTTACATTTTTGAATTAATAATTATGTAAATAAATCTCGTCAGTCTCCGCAAACCACGATGTACACCGAAAGCGAAAATAGTATAGGATAGAGGAATCAAAGCCTTCTAAACGTGACATCACAAAGGGTTGAAATTTTCAAATTGCCCGTGCTTAATATAGGTGACATTGGCAGTATCGATAAGAACCGAATCAGAATAAAATCAATAAAATGTACAAGAATATTTCATCCTGTAAACTACAGTGTGAAGAACGTTTCTTTGAGGCCTTCGATCTCAAAATTTTAGTTTTTAAGGCCCTAGAACGCTTTCTTTAGGAGTTATTTAACGATTTAGCAGACAGTGTTGCGGGTTGCATTTGTCATGAATATTTACACGCCTTTTTTTAAAACAAATCCTTCACATTTTACTGTCAAATTGCAATTCGCCACGTGTCCGTGAAATTCTCTTTCATTAGAGACCTCATTTATCAAGATCGGTTGCATGTGAGCACCGCAAAGGTATGTGTAAGCGTATAAAGCTGAAATAATTTGGGGAACGATTATACAGCATATTTTCGCCTTTTAAGAGTTTATTTTAGTCGCCCAAAATATAAAAGTTTTGTGTGAAGCATTCTGAATAACCTGATAAGCGAAATTAAAGCATCAGGCACGCATCAAAAGCAATAGAGATCAGTGCCCGTTACAATTTTCTCACATTTTGTCGGCGTAGCTACACGAAACCATGTTTAGAAGAAGCACCAGCGATTTACAAAGACGCATTTAAAGAGCAAGGGACCTACTTGCGCGCCGTGGTGACCAGCTTGTTGAAGGGGATCTCCCACGCGTACATCTTGATGACCTGCACGCCCGAGATGATCTCGTTCATGAGGCGCACGCGCTCGTCCGTGCGCATGGCCGTGCGCAGGCGCAGCGTCGACGTCTTCTTCCCCAGGTACGCTGCAACACGCACGTACTCATCACGCTCCAACATACAATGCGACAGGTAATTGATCGCTTGATTAGGATTTCGGGCGCGTCAAATGCTAACTTCGTTAGTCCCTTGAGTGTAGGACATGTTTTTTTATAGCCGGAGGTTGTGGAGATTCTCCGCTGGGTGAAGTTCCGGTACCGAACTACGTAGGCTTGAGAGATTTTCCCAGCTTACCCCAGCCGGGGCAAGCTCTAAGCTCCCATCAGGTCTCCGGACATCGATGGTAGTGTTTGTGTGTGTGTGTGTGTGTGTGTGTACGTGACGGGGTGAGGATAGGGCAAGGATAAGGAAGGACAGATCGGGCGCAGTGCGTGGCCTGTTGGTTAGAGAACTGTTCCGGAATTCGCCTGGTGTTGGTCGGAGGGAAAAATACTACGGAAAACTAACCATCAGAACCGCCGGCACCTAGAATTCTCCTCCAAATAGCGGTTAATGCATGGACCTAAGGGGGTCCAAGTTACGTCAACAGGTTTGTCTTGGACCAGTAGGGAGATGAAGTATCCGCTGACATGAGCACAATTCGTAAATTTTGGAGGTTAGGTTGCATTTTGCATTTAACGTCACTCGACAATACACACTTCATCGCAAATTTGAATAATTATTTTATTACTTCAGACAGGTTTGAATTGTTCACAAAAACCCCTTCGGTCGCCGTTCAAGCGCGAACATTCGTTTGCCCGAACCCTCGTCCACACTGTCCGTAGGGTGAATATACGACGGAGCAACAAAGCAACAGCAAAGCAACGAGAACATCCCACGGAATAAATCTGTTTCTGTTGAGATTACGGTAGTCTAGAGACCAATACTGTTGACAATCGATAAAAGGGGTGCAACGAACAGGTAGGTTTTCACTGCAAGTTCCAGGCAAGGCATTTACACATAATGCTGAATACTCCTCAGAAGGGGCGTGATTTTGATGACCAAAAACATTGCCAAAAATTATCAATAAAATGCTTTAAAAATGACATAAAAACAAAGAAAAATGATGCAACAAATTTCGTCAAACCACTTCAGATGAACAACTCCGGCTGTTGGATACGTTACTGTTGTAATCGATGCTTCTTCCCCTTCAAGTGAAATCACTCGCAAACTTTGGTTTGGACTGTTCTTGAAAAACTTCTGCTTTTATTTATCGCGAAATCGACCTAATTGACAATGGCGCCGATATGAGTCACAAGAACCTGGATTGCATAGTACTCACAACGGCTGACATTTTACTAAACGGTATTGTAGTAAAGTGAGAAGAAAAAATTAATTTCATTAAAATCCTGCCCCTACTGATTAGATACTTTCTTGTTAGGTTCTTTTTGGATAAATTGTGGGACGAAGTTGCCGCCGAAAGAGGCAAATTGTGGGATGAAGTTACCACCTTAATGTTTTTGGAATTTATATTATTTAATATTATTATATTCCCAATAAAATATTTCCAGCTGCCCGCTTCTGTACAAATGGAGACTATTTTTTAAGTTTAAGAAAGGAAAATAATATTGGTTTTAATAATATTTAATGTATTAGTGACCATTTTAACCGTATCATTCTAAAAGATACACTGAAGAGCCAAAAAAACTGGTACACCAGCTACACATTACACATGTATCGTGTAATATCCCCGCGAGCATGCAGAAGTGCAACACAACGTGGCATGGACTCGACTAATGTCTGACGTAGTGGTGTAGGTAATTGACACCATGAATCCTGCAGGGCTGTCCCTAAACTCAAGAGTACGAGGGGTGGAGATCTCTTCTGAACAGCACAGCAACAGTTGCAAGGCATCCCAGATATGCTCAATAATGTACATGTCTGAAGATTTTGGTGGCCAGTGAAGTGTTTAAATTCAGAAGAGTGTTCCTGGAGTCACTAGAGTCGCTGTGCAATTCTGGGAGTGAGGGCTGTCGCATGGTCCTGCTGGAATAGGCCATGGACGTCGGGATGCACAATAAACATGGATGGGTGCGGGTGGTCAGTCAATATGCTTACGTACGTGTCACCAGTCAAGAGTCATATCTAGACGTAGTTTTCTCGTCAATTCTTGCCAATACCGCTCGTTTCTATCAGCATTCATAATTCAACTTCTTGTGTACAGAATGTCTTTATTTTATCTCGCAACCCTTTAGATTTGCTTTTATTGTGGCAATTTGACAACTAGGTGAAATATCTTTGGCATTCCTTTCACTTTTAGCGACTCTCCAACCGCCGCGTGACCACTAGTCGCTCTGTACGAAAGGTTTCCAGCCACGGAGTCGTATACCTGACCTTCATGGGTGGGGAAAAGAAACATGAAAATTGTTTTCTACTGCTTATGACCTGACTCTCACCTCCTCTGCCGTCCCGACGTTCGCGGCTGCCTTAGGGCCTCTTCACACGGCGCGAGTCAGCAGCGCATCCGACTGGCGCGTCTGCTGGCAAAGCATTGGTTTAAATGGGGTAATCACACGAGGGGCGGGGGAGTTTTTGTTGGGGCGCTCGGTGGCGATCTCCCGAAACCAGAAGCGAAGAAGCTCTTTCGCGCCACCTCTAGTAGAACACAGATCTAAGTGTCCATTCCCATGACGCCACTCAGCAGTGTTTCCGAGTGTGCTGGCAAAGCACTGGTTTAAATAGAGGTATTCACACGAGCGGTGTAGTCGTGGTAGTATGGCGTTCGGTGTCAGACTCGCGCCACCAGCAGCGCAGACGAGCGTCCGCGCCATCGCTAATAAAAAAGATCTAATTGGCAGCGTTCGCACTAAACGCGCCACTGAACCCCTTTTGGTCTACTGCCTGCCTGCCTTTCGGCCGCCTGAGTCCACAGCGGCCTAACTCACGAAACCTTCCTCTCTCGCGATCAGTGGGATTCGGAGGTGGTTGTCTGAAGGGCTCTGCCACTTCTCGGTGGCGCCATCGAATGGCTCCGTGTGAAGGCACCCTTAACTTGCCGCAAAGATACACGGCTGCCAAATTACCATGTGCTCTCATACATTGGTTGCGAGGTAAACTATTCTGTTAATAAGTTAGGGCAGGGAACCGAGAGCTAATGAAAACGTGCACAGATTGTCCTTTTCACCATTGTACGTCATTACACACAATTTTAACTAGTTGTCCTTAAACATATCAATTCTCAGACGCTTGCTCGTTCTAACGTTTCGTATGCCTCCGCTCGAAACTAAACGCACAATGTGAAGAAGACTCAGATCGCACATATCGTTCTTTGGCGGTTTCGACGAACCTTCAAAATGATGGGCAAAACAGTTTGACGGCAGTAGAAATCGCTCAGAAAATCCTGACCTGCGGGGAAAATTTCTGTCCTACAAAGTAACGACTGCATCAAGGCAAAGAGAAAGTTCAAAATCTCAGGACCGGGAGTACGGGCCGTACGATGTGTGATAACCATGTTTTACTGTGTCATTTCAAATCCACTGAGGATCATTTGGTCCCCTCACGTAACGTGTTTATGTCTAGTTGAAGTCTGTATATTGCAAATACAGTTGACTGCAGTGCACAAAATAAAGGTTAAAAAGAGCAATTGGCTTTGAGGTTTACTCCAAACAGCGTTTTCGAACAACTTTTATACAGTATAAGAAAGAAAATGGTCACCAATGTCTGTGGTGAAAGGCTAAAGGATCAAAATACGCCAGTTTGCGAAGCGGGAACTACCTTGGAGCGGGATGAACATTAGGATGGTAGCGACGCCGATGACTGACGCAATCCCCACGTGGCGGTACATCACGTAGGTGGCGAGCACCGTCTCCACGGGGCCAATCCACAGGTAGTGCAGGAAGATGACAGCGAGGTCGAAGCGCGCCACGTCGTTGGCCAGCAGGTTCACCACCTGCCCGGCCGTCGTGTCTCCCAGCGCCGTCTTGCTCAAGCGCAGAGCCTTGCGGTACAGCAGCGAGCAGCTGCCCACGCGCATCTTCATGCCCATGTGGAAGATGGCCATCATGTACGGGTGGATGACGAAGATGTTGGCGGCGGAACAGAGCACCACCCCCGCCGCGTACCCCATGGCGGCGTCGCGCGGCACCTCCGAGTCGTTGCTGAACGACAGCACCAGCTGCCCCAGGAAGATCGGCTGCGCCACTCTGCGGACGATACACGACGGTCACACACAATTGGATGAAACCTCAACAAAGAAGGGGCAGCCAAGATTAAGTTAAGAGAAAAAAGAGGGCAGAGGAGGCGGAGGAGTAGAAAGAGAGGAGGAAACAGAGACATACGGCGGAGGAGGAAACAGAGACAGATGGCGGAGGAGGAAACAGAGACAGATGGAAGAAGATCAAGGAACAGGGGGGACGTGCAAGTGGAAGAAAAAGAAAAGAACTCACCGCAGCACGATCTCCATGATGGCGAGGACGATGCCGTAGAGCGCGAGGCGCACGCCGAATGCGCGCACTATCACGCGTGTGAGGCTGGGCCGCGCGCCCTTGCGCCGCGCCGCGCGCCGCTGCTCGTCGGCCCAGTACCTGCGCAAGTGCACGCCAACGCGTTACGAAGCTCCAGATCCTTGGTATTGGTTACGTATACTAGCGATAAATGGTTTTTATTTTGCCTCTTGACCAGAGAAGAAAAGTACCTAACACCTGAGGATGCTTTAGAAATAGCAAAGTGTTAGAATGCTACTGAACGCAAAGAGCAGAGTTGGTAATGAACAAAAAGTAATTGGATGTCACAGAACGAAACGCAAAGTGAAGATGTGTTTCTGAATGCATAGCGCCGGGATGCTAAATGAACGCAAAGTGCCGGGATGCTAACTGAACGCAAAGCGCCGGGATGCTAACTGAACGCAAAGCGCCGGGATGCTAACTGAAAGCGATACGCTGTGATGCTACTGAACGCAAAGTGAAGAAGTGTTTCTGGACGCAATGAGGAAGGAAGATGTTCGCTCACTTCTCGAAGACGTCGCCGAGGAGGTCGCTGCGGTGCTCGGTGAGCGGCTGCGTGAGGTCGTCCACCTCGAGGTCGCGCTGGTAGCCGCGCCAGAAGGTGCCCAGCACCCAGCCGAAGGTGAGCGCCGACAGCGGGGAGGCGCGGGCGCGCGGGTTGGGCGGGCGGTCGGCGCCGCGCGCGCCGCGCGGGTCCATGGCGCCACCGCTCGCCTACCCTGCAACAAGCCATGCCGTCCAACATTACCAACACAGCATTTCGAGACAACTAATAAAGAATTTGGACTGGACAAGAAATGCCACATCAAGTCAGGTTGTCAATTTGTAAATTAACTGCAAAATTCAAACTGTACACTTGTGCTAAACACTAGGAATTTCGCCCTTCTAAAGAATCCCAAATTTTCTGCAACTTCATGTGAATTTCCTGAAGTGTCTTTATTTCACGCGGGATTAAAGAGCATCGTTTGCTGGCAATGCATCTCGGATGCAATATGCATATTGCACGTCCGTATCTGAAGTATCCACGTTTGAAGGAATTCGTAACATTTTTTTCCTTGACTGAAACCATAAAATCAATACGTCAATACAACCTTTTTAATTATGAAACCCCCACTTTATCATGACTTGCACTGTGCTACACGAACTGAGCAACATTCCTAGACACGCAAACAAAGAAAAATTAACATGAAATTATTATAGTCGAATCTGGTTAGAGTGAAGTCTGGGGACTAACGTATTTATTTTTCTATACCATAATTTATATATATCCGATATCAATATTAAATACAATTCCCTCACAATTACTGATTTTATTAATATAGATACAGCGAATTACATTAACATCACGCATCGAAAGTTTCAATTTTTTTTTATTTGAGCTTAAAAAATTATTATTTTTAATTGTTTGCTTCTTACATTTTTCATTAGTAATTTCTGTAGTTCCTTCTCCTGTTTCCATATTTTATTCTGCATTGTCCACTGACGCCAAGTATAGTAATGCTCATTGGCACCCTTTTTGCACTGTTGGACCGCCGTCCCACTCTCCGAAGGTCCCTTTACTCGTCTAAGAACCTTTCGGGGGTGGCATGGGGCAAGCAACAGATGAACGGATAGCTTTTCCGCGCGGTACGGGGGTCGCCAGACTGAGAGGCTTGTTCGCTTACTGTCGCCACGTTAAGGTGACGAGACGTCCCGTATTAGCCGGGACATTGCTCTTTATTTTGAGTCTTTGTCCCGAACTTTTTGATTAGACAAACGGGATGGTAAAATTTCCTTTTTTTGTGACAATGACGTATTAGCACAAAATACTACTAGGTCAACAATATTACATTTATAGTAATATATTCCATTTGCTTCCCATTTGTTTATAAAACATGAAGCGCTACAAGATATTGTGTTCAGCCGCGTAAAAAAAGTGTTTAGAGAGTCGGTTATGGTTTCTAGAAAGAGAAAATGCAACTATGGAGCCATTTCAACTTTTATATGCTATAACACAAACGATATCGCTGGGGATAAATTCAATAAACCGACCCTTCTCCTTCTGAGAGTTTCTGTACGACTTAGGGCCGGTTTCACCAAACAGAGTAAGAGTTTACTCTGGAGTAAATCATGTTTACTCGAGAGTAACTTCTTGGAGCATTTCACCAACACTTTACTCGAATGTAAATCGCTTGCACGAGAGTAAATTCGAGAGTAACTTTACACCGCGAAAAGTACGGAGTAAATTCAGTTTTCAACATGCATGTATCTCCGAAGTGTTGTTCCGGTTCGACGATTACGAATGATAGTATTTGTAGACGATTCCAGCAATGATTCGGAATATTATCCACTAGTGCGAAGACAAAGGGTGCGAGAGAAAATGGATTGGTTTTAATTATGACGATCGTGATTTTGTCACGAGGTTATGTTTGACCAAATCAGCTGTTTAACCTCATCAGATACATTGTAAACTGTAGAGAACTTCTAAAGTTATTTTTCTCCCATGTGGATACGAAATAAAGGTAGTACGTACCGAATACGACAGCAAAAGGAAATATAATAACTACAGGAACTACAAGTACTAAGAAATATTCATTTTTTTATTCAGTAAAAACTGTATGTGACGTATGGGGGAGATCATTTGCCCATGTTTTCTTGAGTTCCAGAATCCCTTTCCAACATTTTAACTACAAATAGTTGAAAGGTGAATAAAAGTTTAAAAAATAAAACAACAAATAATAATAAAATTTAGAAAAAACACCAGATCAGCAACATTTGAAAAAAACTAAACATTTTCGTTTCCTCGTTATAGAAAATCCATTTGCACCGCTATCGGGAAACGAACTACAAATTTGATTTTTCTACATTGTTAACAAAATAGTAACTCATCTCCAGGGAAGAAGAATGGATATTTATTAACAAATAAATATTCAGAAACTAGGAAATAAGCTATGCCAACTCAAACCGCCATAACACTACACCAGATTATAACGTCAAGAACTCCGAAACTGAAATGAATGATAGAATATAAGGAATTGATCAAAAGTTCGCGTTGGTCCGCATTGGTTCCCAGCGTCATTCTTGCTCACAGCCTCTTGAATCGCTCTCAAATACTGTGTGTTCAGCTGAATTGCGGAGTAAATCGGAGAGTATGTACACTAGAGTAAAATAACCCTCAAGAAGCATGGTGAAACGCTCATATTCTGCTCGAGAGTTACTATCTTAGAGTAAATGGTTACTCTCGGTTAACTACTCTCAACATTACTCGGCTGTTGGTGAAACCGGCCCTTAGTTCGCAATCTTAATTGAGAAATGCTGGCCTACTTTGTAATGAATTAAACCAATGTATCAATATTTTTTCTGTTCCTTTCTAAGAGAGTCTTTGGTTGGCGTGATGTGAATGCTACTACATGAAAGTTCGACGTATTTATATACTTGTTCGTTTATTTAATCTTAATTTCCAAACCTAAATATTTATGATAAAAGTGTTTAACGTCCTCTTTCGCCCCTTTTCGTTGAGACATTCGTTTAGACTACAATGTCCCGTTTTTATGATTTCAAAATATTATCTCCTTAGCTTACGTAGAACACCACTAGCTTTGTCCGGCGGGATATGAACTAATATCAAGCTGAAAACTGAAGCAAGCAATCGCGGGTTGCCGCCGCAGTTGTAGCCCACGGAGGAAACATGTTTCTACAGTGCAGCTGAGTGGCACATGGTCTCTTCTTAGAAGGTCCCCGTACTGAGTCCGCTTCCTTAGGGGAGACTTCTGCGATTATGACCTTTGGCCGACAATGTTTTTTCGAAACTGCCTAGTTTCGGAATTTGTGGTACGCAGGCGATATTTTTTGTCAGAGGGAATTAATTTCCAGGTCGATTTTCCTACGTTCACTATATCCGAGGTTCAGAGTTCACATTTTCTAATATTTTTTTGCTTATTAGTAATGTAAGTGAAAACCGGACCAATAGCTTATGTTCACTACAACCGAGAGTTATCTATAACTGGAGTAACTGAAAAATATTAAATATGAGGAAAAACAGCTACCTACGAAAACATTCTGAGACAAAAGAAACAATATGCGTCATGTTAATTCAAATTTCGGTCAACTTAATGTATTACCACCAGCCAATTAGAATCTGCCCTCCACTAACAAATTACATTTTTGTGGCTGCAACAACATTCTCAAATCTTTCCAGTGAAATGCTAAAACACTAAACAATTAATTAATAGATTGCAATTGTATAAAATAATATAATTTTAGGTTTATATGACTTGACAAAATAACGGAAGTGCTTCTCATAAAGACTCAAAAAGTCAACTTAATACACACAGTAACTGCATACACAAAGTATTTAAATACATATGAAAAGAACTAGGTCTCCAAAAGCACATATCCCGTATTATTGGTAACGATTACCTAATATTATAATATTACAACTTCTATTCCATTAGCACTTCTGTAACCACTTGAAAAACTCAATCGATATAACTTATAATTATGCGAACACTAATAAATTGAGAAACGTACATAAAAAGGGATATAAAGATCAAATAGAGAGAAACACATTTCATTTTTAAAAACTCAAGTTTCAACATATCTCTATATACTTAAAAGTGTAGATACGAAAAAAAATGAGCTTTGTCATTACATTAGGCAAAAACTGCTTATCTACTTTTAAAAAGAATATATATGAAGTGATTTAAAAACCTAATATTCAGAAAATAAGAATTACGAAAAAATATTGAAAATTTAGGACATGTTCTAAAAATATTTCATTTTTGCAATTTTCAAAATTTAGAAATTTTAATGAAAATATAACCCCATTTCACATTTCGCTAATATTTCCTTACTCGACAAAAAATTAGAGCTCATAAAGAAATATGATTTTATATTTCTTTAATTGGCTATACTAGCAATATCTTGTTTTCTACTTGAGGTGTGAACACACTTCGAGAATTTTAAAAATGCTGGTCCGTCCTAACTAGATAAAAGTCCATGTTCCTACCCTTATGATTGCGTCAACAAAATTTGTAATTCCTCTTCGTAATCTATCTTAAGCCATTTCAGGACGACCAGAATGATTTCAAAATGTCTAGTAAGAGTAAGTGGCTGCAGTGGGTTAGTAAGACCACAATTATTCCCGAATGGCGATCATGGCGCACACTTTTTAGTTACAAACACCCTTTTGTATAGGCGTCGCAAATCAGAAAGATGGTCGCTGAAGGAAAAAAGCCCGGAAGTTCTCGAGGTCACGGGCGGGCGCCGCCCTTCTCTCGTCGACGGGGAGGCTCGGGGGCAGCGGGGCGGAGCGGGGCGGGGCGGGGCGATGCAATTTCGCGGAAGCTACCGGTTCCAGCGGCGCAGCTCGCTCTGGACGTGATCATCTCAAACAGCGCTCGCTTAGGTCACCGCAGTTGCTTTGCTTAATGCCCACGAGAGTGCGTTGTGGAAGCGATGAGAAGTGCGCTCTGACGTCAAAACGAGGAATTTCTTCGTTGCATAGCCCGCGAAAGCTTGGGAAAATAATTCTCTCAGTTGAGTAACCGAGTAATCTTGAGCAGTATCCACACAATTTACGCATCTTTTACGCCATTTGATAACAAAAAACAAGGACACGCAAGACTGGTTTGTACCCTGTGAAAGGGGATCATAGTAAATTGCAAGCAGATTGCTTTACGTTTTGACACTGTTCGATTTATCAGTTTCCATGTCCAACG